GCTCAGAGTTAAAATCTAAAAAGGTGTTTCTGTGGAAAAACATGATAATGAAACACTTTAAAGAAGCCATGTATACTCTGTTCCTATCTAGGGCTTGAAAATGTTCACTAGCTTATTAAAGGTTCTATATGAAAAATACATAGCTTTTATTCAGTCTTCTTTGATCCATAAAATATTTTTGATAGGAAGAATCTATTAAATATCTAAAGAAATATGGACATTGTGGCATAGCAAAGAAATATAGAAGAGAATAAGTTAGCCATAATATGGTGAAATGAGTTCAAAGATAAGTTAGATTTTAAAAGGGTATGTTAGAGTTAATGGAAAGTCTTGGGTTCCAAATGGCTTATTTAATACGATAGGCCAATAGATGAGATTTGAGAAAATATATTTATATTTTTCCCAGGAAAATAATCCTAATTTTCCCCTGTGCCTGTGTTTCCCTGTACTTATAATATTTAGCCAAAAAGAGTAAATTGTTTGTGGGACATTCTTAATTTTAACAATTTAATTTTTTTCCCTAGAATGTGGACAAAAAAAAATGTATGTTTAATTATTCAGTTATTTTAAAGTATTTTAAGCAAGTGTTTATCCTGTTTACTTTTTTTTCCACTGTAGATCAATCCTGATACTCTTACTGCCATTTTCAGTGAAATTGTTCTATACTTTTACTTTTGCATTTTTATAAAAACATTATTAAATTTAAAAAAGAGTATTCCACCCACCAGTTACCTAATAAAGCATTGTTATTTTTGTGATCCCTTTCAATATTAATTCAGATATATGTAACATTATATATGCTTATAATATGCATGGTTATACATATATGTATTTATACTTGCAATAGTATATATAGTTACATTAATGATGATGGCTTTAAATAATTTAATGTCTTCAAGTAATTTTATTTTATAAACATAATTCTATATTGATGCATATTTTTATATTTATTTTAATGACAACATGATACTTCTTTTAGTTGATACAGCATAGTTTATTGTACTGTACCCCCTTTTTGGACATTTAAAATGTTTGGGGTTTTGCATTTTTATAAGGAATGTTGCTGTATACATCTTCATAATGATGTTTTATTCTTTTAAATTATATCCAGCCCCCTACCTTTGTACTTCATGCTTTTTTGAAAATATGCTAACACTAATTAATAAACACACATAATTTGTGTTTTCATTTCCTAAGCAGCTAAAATTAGACGTGAGTAATTATACCTTACCTTTGTTGTTAGACCCTTCAGTTAAGTTACTTCAGTATTATAGGCCTTAGATAGACTGTCCTTGGTTCAGTGAGTATCCAGTTATTGTGATAATCCATTCAACAAGTTTAATTATTTCTATCTTATAATTGCATTCATTTTATCACACCCATGTCTCCTATCACTTGCATCAGTACTTTTATATATATATATATCTATGGACAACTGTGTTTCTAACATAAGAAACAATATAAACAGTAAAAGTTTTGCTCCTAAAACTGATTTCTTATCTACCAGATCCTTACCCTGCAATAAATTAGAATATTTTTTTGTCAACTGATTTTAGAAAAATGTTTTATGCTAACTGATATAGGAATATTATTGTGTAAAGTTTGAAAGTGAAGGTTATGAGATCCACCAGCATGAAAAATAGAGGGCTTTCTATATAGTGTTTTCTGATGATAAATTCTTAGGAATAGGAAGCAGGGACCAGGAACATTTTTATAACAGTTAAGCATAGCATCAAATTATTGCCTGGCTGGCGTGGCGCAGTGGTTGAACGTCAATCAATGAACTAGAAGGTCATGGTTCGATGCCTGGTAGGGTGCCTGCCCACGTTGTGGACTCAGTTCCTGGTGTGGATTCAGTGGTTCTCTCTCATCATTGATGTTCGTATCACTCTCTCTCTCCCTTCCTCTCTGAAATCAATAAAAAAATATATTATTTTAAAAATTATTTTCTGAAAAGTACTACACTATTATGTTACATTTTTCGTGAAGTGCACAACTCTGTCTCTTTTTTTCCTTCTTGCTAAAGGGATTATCTTATATACATGGGTCATTTATTTCAAGTACCCATTTCAAATACCTTTTGAAGGATACTGTTATGTTGAAACACATTTACTGCATTGTGCTTAGGCAAACGGAATAGCAGAATTGAGTTGCATTTTTAAAAGCTATTTCCCTTGAAAATGATTGAAGCAGAAATACTCTTCTGCTTAAGTTCAGGATTGTGACATATCTTTGGCATTTACTAAAATATACATAATACAAATACGGAAATCTCATTATGGAAGTATAAACTAGCCCTGCCTTTTCAATAAAGCTGATGTGTCTCCCAATTTTGTTTCATTCCTTTATATCATTCCCTTAAGTCAAATGCCTATTTGAAAAGGGTGACTAATTTGCTTACATTTTCTCTTGCCTATTATAAATATATCTATTTGGGTGAAGTAAATCTAGTGTAGCTTATATTATAGTTTTATTTTATTCACTTTAAAAAGTTTATTGATATTATTGGGCTTGTGGTAAATGCTTCAAGTACATTTAATCTTATAGTTTATCTTTTTTAGGTTTTCTTTCCAAATAATAATTCATGTTGGCCCATGAATGGGTGAAATATCTGTGACTTACTTTATGTTAGGATGTTTATTAAATTTATGTAGCCTCTTTCAAATCGTATTAAATGGAGGCATGTCTGAGCATGTGCTTTAAGACTATCCTGCCAAATCGCTTGATCTTGTTCAATGTTTGTGATTTATAGAAGGTATGAGAAGATGCTTCTTGAGTTTGCATTACAGACTATGTACTACACACACACCCCACATACAAAGTAAAGTGAAGTTTGTGGGCCCGTGATACATGGATAACTGTATAACTGAGCATGAGCTTCCATGACTGCTTATCTAAAATCTAATAGACAAAAAACTGTGCATGTGTGATTGTGATTAAATCTGTTTACAATATCTCTTGTGAATCATATTCCAGGAAAAAAAGAGCTTTTTTATATTTCTTTTTTTTTTACAGGAATCAGTAAAAACCACAGAACCTCTATATTTATATTTGAGTTTGCATCAAACATTTTTCATTTGGAATAATTTCTTGCAAAGGGGGAAAACGGAATAACCTATTTCTGAGTGCCTTTTGTTTTAGGCTAAATTTCAAAGGACTGTCCTTGACACCCTTGCATTAAGTACTCTTTAAGATTAATAGAACTTTATAGTTTGCATTTGTTTTTTCATTAGCTAAAAAAATTTCTAAAATTACAATATAATTTAAGAAGCAATCAGTAGAATATTTTGGATAAGTAAAATGTAGCAAACTTCTCACTGTTCTTGAATGAGATGTATTTGTATAGATTTCAATTAATTGTTATAATGATTTTTAAAATGCTATAAGTCTATGTCCTGCAAATCTTGTTGAAAGTCTCTCTTTGTTTAAATATTATAAATATTTGAAAGAGAGTCTTATGGTTGGATGTTGCCACTGGTTCAATTTCAGCCTCTATGTAACAAAAGCAGTTCTGAACATCCCTACCTTGGAATGATCAGTTAATAAGGTACAAAAAATGTATTCACCATCCATCCCTCATACTTTCACAAATCACGTGAACCATTTCCAGGTGCTGGACGTTTTGGACCATTAAGGAATTCTATATTGACGCAAAAGGAAGAAGTAATATAGCCAATTTTCAAATAGCTCCATAATTTATTTTAGATAGAATGAGGGGAGGCTGAAATTTTGGGGACCAAGCTCTCTCTTAATACTTAATAATTTCTAGTTTATTTTGGTAAAATAACTAAAATAATCTCTAGCCCAGAGAGGAAAGGCATCCCTACTTCTGGCAGAATCTCAGACTGTGAACAAACCTCAAATCCAGTGCACTTTCTACTATAGTTCTTTTTTAAGGCCGCAAAAAGAGCTCTAATCATTTTTCTTTTTGTGAAGATAATACTAGTAATAGTTTAATGGAGTAGTAGTAGTTAGTGTCAGAAGTAGAAGTTAGCATTTATAAAGATGTTTAACTTGCTTAATCATTAGGGAAATAAAACCATAATGAAATACAGTTTCACAACTACTAAAATGACTATTTTTTAAAAAGCAAAAAAGTAACAAATATTGTAGAGGATAGAGAGAGATTTGGAGCTCTTTCACATTGTTCATGGGAATGTAAAATGGTGCAGCAGCTATAGAAAACAGTTTGGTGGTTTCTCAAAAGGTTAACCAGAGTTATTATATGACGCAGCAGTCCTATTCCTAGATTTATATCCAAAGAATTGAAAACAGGGATTCCAGTAGATATTTGTATGTGAATGTTCACAGTGGTATTATTCACGATCACCAAAAGGTGGAAACAAACCAAGTGTCCATCAGCAGATGAACAGATAAATGTGGCATATACATATAATAGAATGTTATTTAACCATAAAAAGGAATGATCTTTAGATACATACTACAACTTGGATGAATCTTGAAAACAGTACGCTACGTGAAATAAGCCAGTTACAAAGGACAACTACTGTTTGATTTTATGTATATGAAATATCTAGAATAGTCCAATTCATAGAGACAAAATAGAGTAGAGGTTACCAGTTTTAAATCAGAACTATTTTGAAAGACATAGATCTGGTTTTAAATATTGGGTATCAGAATTAATTTCTATTTAAATGAAACTTCTATATAAATAGCATTATAAATCTGAGAAAATATATTATTTGCCCTTTGTAAATGAAAGAGAAATCCGTGAGAATAGGAATATATTTTCTTTTGTTGTGTTTCCCCATAAGAAAACTCCATTCAAAATCTAAGTGCTTAGTTTATTATTACTGGCTGATGCTTCTGAGTGTTTTTTTCACTAGTGTTTTTTTCACTAGTACTGTTTCCCTAGATTCATCTTTTGAATCTGTAGTTAAATACAATATTTTGGGCAAATGAATTCCACCAGCTGTCTTCCTTGTTCAGAGATTATAGATTTCAGAGTATAATCATAATCCATTTATCTTTCCTTGTAGCATCAGAGGCTCCTTGAAATGCTAGATACAGAGAAGGATCTGTTAAAAGAAAAAATAAAGGAAGCTTTGGTACAGCAATCTCAAGAACAGAAGGTAATGCTTTAACTTTGCTCAGAGTGGGAAAAGAATGTGCTCTGTTACTGCAAATAATACATTTAGTCTTTGTTTTATCATTTATAGGAAATATTGGAAAAATGTTTGGAGGAAGAAAGACAAAGAAATAAAGACTCATTAGTATCTGCTGCAAAGGTATTTCCACCTGAGAAGTTTATTATATAGTCTAATTCCAATAAATTGTATTTGTTCTGTTTGTTGTTATGTTTACCTCCACATCAAAGCCTAGATTTGAAATTTTTATTCTCATATGAAAATTGTATTTATCACTTATTTGCCTGGTATAAACACATCTGTAATAATGGTGTATTTTGGTAAGTGGAATTAAAAAACAGTTAATTAGTGGTACAACTAATCTACTTTTGTAAAATATTTTATTCCAGAAAAACAAAAATGATTGTTTTTCTTTCTTATTTTTCCTTTCATGCTAGGATACTACACTCATATTCTTATTAAATTCACATTATACAATATTATGATGATGCTGAAATGCTTTCCATTTAGATTAGTAATTAATTGTTAAAAGAATTTAAAAAAAAAATTGTAAAAATCAGTGGACACTGATTTCCACTTGGTATTTAGTGGGTATCATACAAGTAATATATGTGAGTGTGTATTTATATGTGTATATATGTATTTAATTATTTAGCAAGATATGTGATTTTTAAAGCCAATTTTGAAATAGCTAATCTCAGTAATGATTCATAGATATAAAATATATATACCTTCAAATACATATATAATACTGACTTTTGAGATTTGCATTTAAATTTACTAAACAAATGTCTCTTATATGTAAACTAGAGGCCCGGTGCACGAAATTCATGCACTCGGGGGTGGGGGGGGGGGTGTCCCTCAGCCCAGTCTGTGCCCTCTCACAGTCTGGGAGCCCTTGGGGGATGTCTAACTGCCGACTCCCCATGGGGAGCGGGCCTAAGCCGGAAGTTGGATATCCTTAGGGCTGCCATGAAGGTGGGAGAAGCTCCCACCACTGCTGCTGTGCTCGCCAGCTGTGAGCCCGGCTTCTGGCTGGGCAGCACTCCCCCTGCGGTAGTGCACTGACAACCACGGGGAAGCTCCTGCGTTGAGCGGGATTGGCCCAATACCGGCTCTCTGACATCCCCCAAGGGGTCCCGGATTGCGAGAGAGTGCAGGCTAAGCCGAGGGACCCCACTGGTGCACGATCGGAGCTGGGGAGGGACACAGGAGTTTGGCCAGGCAGGGAGGGACCTTGGAAGGGCTCCAGGGCATGTCTGGCCTGTCTGGCTCAGTCCCGAATGGCTGGACCCCAGCAGCAAGCTAACCTACCAATCGAAGCATTTACCCCCTGGTGGTCAGTGCATGTCATAGCGACTGGTCCACCAGTCGACTGTCTGCCCCTTGGTGGTCAGTGCATGTCATAGCAAGCAGTTGAGCGGCCTTAGCATATCATTAGCATATTACATGTTGATTGGTTGAATAGACAACCGGACACTTAGCATATTAGGCTTTTATTATATAGGATAACTATGCCAAGATGGAAGTTCAAGGGTGACTATAATTTTCTCTTTTTCTTAAAGAACTTACATCAGGACAGAAAAAATATTCATTTACCAATAAGACAAGGAGTAATGCATTAAATTATTATGAGTGTATAAACAGTATTTCCATGTCATAGGAGTTTTTAACAAATAAATCACTTTGAAAGGAGTTGAAGGAAGGCTTGCATTTGGAATTTTAAGTTTGAATTTTATTCCATAGGTAAGAGTAGACACATGGACATTTTTAATATTGGTGTGACATAATGGTAATTGACATGAACTTTTGGGAAATTGGAGACAACAAAGGCTAGAAGCAGAGAAATGATTGAGTGCATCAGAAGTCTGTGTAGATATAGTGAATGGCAGAAATAGAGTAGTAGTAGTAGCTTAGAAAGGAAAATTCTAGAAGTCGAAGGTGGAATCAACTTACATGTTTTGTCTGGATGATATAAGAGGTGAGCAAGCTGTAAACTCTCTGAATATTGATTCAACAGCAACATGGAAAATAATACTATTTCTTTGGTATGGAGTTTAAAGTGCCTGTGATATATTCAGATGACAAAAGTCAAGTAGATGACTAACTCTACCTGACATTTATAACTCAGGAGAAAGGAGTGACCTAAAGATACTAATAATGGTTTTGTTTTTCAGTAGATAGATGGTAATGGTAGCCATGGAAATTACTGTCATATATAATCACTTCTCTGGAGAGTGTAACATAAAGGTAGTCTAAAGTCTGAGCCCTGAAAGAACAACAAAATTTAAAATCCAGAGAAAGGAAGAAGTTACAAAAAACTAAAAAGACTCAGCCAGATTAATAGGGGAAATATAAACTTCATGCTGTCGTGCAAACCAAGAAAAGAGAGAGCTTCAAGAAAATAGAAATAAGCAACTGTGTAAAATGTTGCTTTGAAGTCAACAAAAATAAGGATTAAAACAAAAAATATCATTTGGATTAAACAACATGGAAGATACTGGTGAGCATAGTAAGAGTTGTTTAAGAGAATAGTGGAGTAAAATAGAAGGTCAGAAAATGGTAACGGTCAACTTCCATAACTTTTGTCAAAATGGTCATGAACTGGAAGCAACAGGGACTAGGGTAGGAAGTCCCTGGGCTTTACTGCATAAAAGTAGGATGGTTTTCTTGAGGAAAATTCATGTGTAGTTGTTTGTGTTGTAGCTGAAGTGTAGGCATTGTTGGAGGGTGGACTGCATTTTACTGAGTAACTAGTGTTACAGTTACATTGCTTTTTGGCAGACATTTACTCTGAAAAGGTGGAGTGAGCCCAGCACATTAAGAAAAAAACTAAGAGTTTTTATTGCTAATGATAAAATTCAAGCTTTGGAGCAAATATTAGAATTTTGGAAAATTTCTATCTGCTTTCTAATACCTAAAACTTTTCTGATGAAATTGACAATGGGATTAACAAATGTGACTTTTTAAGGTATGATTTAATGAAATTTGTCAACATCTGGAGGAGATGCATAACTCATTCATTCAATGTTTCCCAAGTAAAAAGTATCTTTAAAACCATGCATAGATAACGGATTCATTCAAAGTTCTAGAAAGGATTGTAATGTAAGAGTACAAAAATTTGACATGATTTGATTTTCTTTGCTGCAACTAACTTTTAAGAACTACTACTTAATTGTGGAATCATCAAGAATATCTACAGTGATCTGACCTGGCTACTAAATATTTCTCCCTTCTCTACTACCTATGTGTGTGAGATTGGGTTTCTTCTTTTTAATATACTTCAACCAAATAATATCATTATAGATCCATACAGAAGAAGATATTAGAATCTAGATACCTTCTATTAAGTCAGATATTAAGGAGGTTTACATACATTCCTTTCACTTTTTAATTTTAGAAAATATAGTTATTTTTTTATAAAATATAGTGTTTGTTAGTATGCAATGCATTTAATGTCATTTGTTTTAAATTAATCAATACATATTTTAATTTTGTCTTGGTTTAAATTTCTAATGTGGTAAATCTTAATATGTATAACCAACAAAAACAAAAGCTCTTTGAAGTCTGTAATAAATTTTAAGAATGTAAAAAGATCCTAAGACTAAATAGTTTAACCACTGCCCTTTAAGCTAAGGCTTGGTTTCTTTGGCATTTAGAAATGCCAAGGAAATAAGTTTATTATTTGTACAAAACAAATAATTGATTTTATTTTTCAGAAATTATTAAATATGCATAAAAACAACAGTGTCAGAACTAAACCATGTGGAATCAAAATGAAGTTGAGTGTTTTTTAGGTTAATCCAAGTTTGTCTTATTCAAAGAAATATTGTGCAGTCATCCTTTCAATTCTTTTTGTTTTGGTCATTGTTTGTTTTGAAGCTTGAGAAAGAAGCAATGAAGGATGTAGTTTTAAAAGCCATAGAAGAAGAAAGAAAAACTTTGGAAAAAGTCCATGCTGAGGAAAGGGAATTATGGAAGACTGAGCATGCAAAAGATCAAGAAGAAGTATCTCAGGCAATTCAAAAAGCTATACAAGAACAAAGAAAAATTAGTCAGGTTAGTAAAATTAATTCTTTGTGAATATTTTTTCTTATTTTTCTCAAAATGCAGTATTCTTAGTATTATTTTATCTTACTTGAAATCAACTTAGTGGACATATCAGTATTAATAATAATTTTGCCTTTGGTAAACAAGTAATTCTTAATATAACTATATTTTTTATCTCCTTATACTTTTAACCTTGACTTTTTATTCTACTTTAAAAAAAAACCACAATCCAAATTTATCTTTAGTCATTGCAACTACATTAAAAATGTAATTTTAGCCCTAGCTTGTTTGGCTCAGTGTATAGAGTGTTGGCCTGTGGACTGAAGGGTTCCAGGATTGGTTCCAGTCAAGGGCACATACTCAGGTTGTGGGCTCAATCCCCAGTGTGGGGCATGCAGGAAGCAGGCAATCAATGACTCTCATCATTGATGTTTCTATCTCTCTCTCCCTCACCCTTCCTCTCTGAAATCAATAAAAATATAGTTAAAAAAATTTAAAGTTTTAATAAATAGGTAGGTGAGAAGTTAGACAGGTTGATTATCATAAAGAGTATGCTTATTATAGAACAAATCACAATATGTATATTCTTAGATTTTTGTCTATATATGATTTTTTTCTAGAGGAACACCTTCGATAGGAAGAAAATTCATATCAACTCCCAAGTATGGGAACCACTGCATTAACATTTTAATATTGACTTTTTAGGGAATCACCAATTTATGGACATTTATAGACATCCTTCATCCATTGATTGCATTCATTCCCTAGAAAAGCAAATTTAAAAAAGGAATAAAGTATTACAAATTGCTTTGTAAAAATCCCATTAATTAAATAATGCCAATTAACTAAATTGCAGGACCAGAGATAAAATCTGTAAATATACTTTACCCAGGGACTACTAGTGATGGGATTCTGAAATCCTGCCTCTTGAACTTGTTCATACCTTTGAGGATTTTAACTGTCAGTCTCATTGTTCACATCCTTGTTACTCCTTTCAGGAAAATACCTGGAATATTAGACATTACAAAAATTGACAGAAAGTTATCATCACTTATATCAATAAAGAAAGTAATAATAGCCCTTCATGTTCAAGTTTCATTTACTTGGCTTTATTCTAGACAAATATTTCAGGCTGTTTGCTACAAAGCTATTTTTATGGAATTTGTTCTTCAGTTTTGGCTATAGAAAAATACTAAGAAAATTGTAGCTGTAGTGCTGGTGCTGGTGGTGGTAGGGCTGACAATAATTGTAACAGTGTTAGCTCTCATTAATTTATTTCTAAGTACCAGGCACTTTCTAATTGTTTTACATGTTTGATCTCATTTAATTCTCACAACCACCTTATGAGGCAGAAACTATTTTTACAGGATCGGAAATTAAAGCGTAGGAAGATTATGTAACTTGCTCGAGGCTATAATGACTTTGGAAAAGGCAACAGTTTGGATCCAAAATCAGGCAGCCTCACTCCAGAGGCCGTGCAGCCCGCCACTTCGCTATTCTCCCTCCCAATGCTCTCATCTTAGAATAAAGCATGAATTCAGCTTACTGATCCTTTCATGTATAATTTCAATAGCAAAAACTTGAATGGGTTATTTTAATTTCTTTATTCACTGAGTAATATTTATTAAGCATCTACCATGTGTTGGCACCGTTGACAATTGTTGGAAGATTTTGGTGTATAGCATCTAACAAGATAGACAAGGTCCGTAGGCACTCCTGGAGCTTATATTCAAGTAAAAAACCCACTAATAAATAAGGTAATACCGTATAGTGATATAAGTTGTGAAGAAAAAAATCAGGATTATGTGTTTATCTGAGAATGGGGGATAGGAGACTTGTTTAGATAAGGAAGTTAAGAAAGAAGCCTGACTCAAAAAAATTTGCATGCTACATGATTCTGTTTATATGAAATTCTGGAGAAGACAAAACTAATTTGAGGGGAAAGAAATCAGTTGTTGCCTGGGAAGGGTGGGGGAAACTTTGAAGGTGATGGAAACTATTTAATTATAATTGTTTTGGTGATTTTTGACAAAACTTATCAAAATATCTATTTCATAGTGATGAATTTTATTACATGCAAATAATATTTCATAAAGCTGTTTTTTAAAAACAAATGCCTACCAGAATAAATTATTGGATAAGTGGTGATCTGAAAAGGTGACTTCATTTACTATGGTGAAGAAGGGTCGAGTTTCTTGGGCACAAAAAAATCCAATTTGTTCATATTAAATTAGAGGTCCCTATTAATCCTAGAATGAGGAAATGTTGAGTAGGCAGGTAAAATATGGTTCTGGAGTTCAGGTGATTTGTTAGGGCTGGAGATTAAAATTTGGGATTGAGGAAATGGTATGTAAAGACAAATAAAAAGAAAAATAATTTCTGGTCAGACCTCTACATGAAATTTTTTTATGGAATGTGGCCATCTTCTATCTAGAAAAAATGTGGCCATTTGAGATTAACTGTATAATAGTGGAGGTAGTCTCTCACACTAACAGATGCAGTATTTCAGATGAAACTGTGAAAGTATTAATGTTATTGGTGCTTTCTGTATCACACTATTGTCCAAGATTGAGAGGCCAGGGCTTCATGCGCCTTTTCTAGGAGGCTCAGTGTCACCAGCGTAAACAGTAGCTTCTGCCACCGTGTGCCCACCTCCTGTCTAGTTACAGAGGCCAATATTCATCATGACCTCTAGTTCTTGGGCAGCTAGTTGGGAGCCATACATCCTGAAGAGCTACTACTGTCCAGGAAACGCCAAACTGCTGCAGACTGAATGAAGGGGCTGATTTAGAAAAGCCTGGAAGCTCTTGTTTTTGAATTCTAAGCTTTAAGTCACTTCACAGCACTCAGATGTTTCTTTAATAAAAAGAATTCTGGAAGTAAACCTTGTAATTAGTAGCAACTTGCATCTTAAGCCACCAAGTCACACTAGAAATTAGGAAAGGATAGAATATGGCAAAGCAAAAAGCAATCAGTGTAAACTTAAGCAAGCAAAATTACTCCTGAGAAAGTAAGGAAAATAAAACAGCCCCTCTATCTTGATAGTGTGCTTAACTGATGAGATAAACATTAAACTATGACAGAAAATGCAATACTTAAGGATGTGTCACATATAGCTTCGAATTTATTTGAAAGATGATTTTGTCTAACTTTGGTCATAAAGTAAGACTAAGTCATAGTGTTGATTATAGATTTTTATGTTTTCTCTGAGATATCAAGTAGAACGTTTGATTCTGACTTACATGATTATCATATTAGATTAATTCTGTGTGCCTTGAAAATCTTTGTTAAAGAAAGGAAAGTACACTTGTTATTGACACCAACATGGACAAAAAGAAGAGAGTAATTAATTTTGCTGTTCTAGAAAAGTCCTATAAAAGGACGCCAGTGCATACAAGACAAACTATTTCTGACGTTGAATGCTCTTCATAATAGTTTATAAGCACAGCCACTGTAATTTTGGGTTATGTTTTCCCCCAAAGCCACAGACATTACAATCAGTGGTTATATTTTCTTTAAGAAATTTAGTATTGCTACCTGGCCCTTCTTTTTATAAAGGAAACAGCATTTCTGTTTTAGCTTAGCAGGCCAGATAGTTTCACAACACTGAAATAATTTTTCTGTATTGACTTCTTAGTTTTGATTCATTGGTTTGTTTTAAATTTGTATTTATGAAATTTTTATAGTAACCTAGTTAATTATAGGAAAAATCATAATTACATTTTAATTACCAAAAGTATTCTATCTAGGGACAAGAGAGCAAATAGTACATCAACTTACCTTTTCATCTCTTGAGACTTTGTCCTTTTGTTAAATTTCTCATTTCATAAGATGAGACATTGTCTGCCAAGTTATCCAGCCCAGAGAACTAGAATTTCTCCTAGACTCTCTCTCTCTCTCATCCCCATTCTCATGCCTTTTTAAACATTAAAACCTCCCCATTTTACTTGATAAATAATTCTTAAACATATACACTTCCTTCCTACCAGCTACCATGTTCTTAATTGTGGTTCTTATTGCTTACCTTGGCCTCCTACATTGACTTCTTTGCTTCCAATTTTGTCCTCTTTCAATTTAGAATAAAAAAAAAAAAAGAATGTTGTTTTCCTACTTTAAACTCTCCAGTGCTGCCCTGTAGCCGATAGGATAACATTCAAGCTACATAGCATGACCTGTACATCTTTCAGAGGATGAGATATAAATCTTTCAGTGGCCTGGTCCCACCACTCCAGCTCATCTTCTGCCACCGTTTCACACTTCATGCTTTTAGTACCACACTGCGGGCACAATACCATGCTGTTTCAGGTTGTTGGGCTTTTAGTCATACTGTTCCTTCAGCCTAGGATGACATGTCTTTCCTAACTTGAAAAACCCACTCTTATTTAATAATTTAGCAATTTTTAATCCAGAAAATTTATATTCCGCTTCTCAGATTAAAGTACCTGTTCTTTCTTCTTTGGTATTCAGTATATATCGTATCACTGCCCAGCCATATTATATTTAAAGGATCTGCTTTGTGTCTCTTCCACTAGATTATCGGCACCTTAAAAGAAGGAACTGAGTCTTGAACAAACCACAATAGATTATAAAATGGTGTGAGATCAGCACTGTTTTATTGAGACAGATTAATCTTTTAAAAATAGACTTGATCTGTAACAATACAGTTTGACTCTTGTAGAGTTTTGGTTGCTTTGAAATGGAACATTTCAACAAAAGTTGGGTGTGCAAAAATAGTGTTCTGTGTTATGATCCCTTTATAAAAAAGTATTTTTTATTGGGTGCCAAACTGACATGATTATTATTGTTTCTTAATGAAATACGTAGAAAGTAATCTACCAGCTTCAGACGCATCTTTACTTTGAACAGCTGGTATGGGTGACTCTGAGGTCCTAGTGGCTACATGAGTCCCGGCGGTCCTTCCAGGTCGCAGTGAAGTGGTGCCCTGCCTGGCACTGGTCCCGTGGGAGAGCATGGTCGCCTCCGCACACCATGTTTCCAGAGAGGCTTTT